CTGTTGTTTTTTGATATTTTGGTGGCATAATATTGTCACCATAATAATCCTTCAATATTGCACCTCAAGGTTTGATTTTTTTTTCTCCAGTTCTGTTTCCATGAGAAATACTAAACGTGGTTTTTCCTTTGAGTTTCCTAACCCCAGATCTTTACACAATTCATTATAATACTTCGTCTTCTCAAGTTGTCCTTTGAAAAATTCTGTTCGGTTCTTTATCTTCATCATTTCTTCCATTCTCTTTAGTTTCTCTACACTAAGGAGCCAGTTTCAGAGTTTCTTCTGACATCCATTTTTGTCTTTTTAGCGGCTTTTTCAAGTATAATGTTCTTGATGTCTTCCCACAGTTCTTCTGGTCTTCAGTCATTAGTATTTCATGCATTAAATATATTCTTGAGATGGTATCTAAATTCAGGTGTGATATTTCAAGGTTATATTTTAGCTTCCTGGACTTGTTTTAATTTTCTTCAGCTTCAGCCTGAACTTGTATATGAGCAATTGATGTTGTAATCTACAGTGGGCCCCTGGCCTTGTTTTGCCTGATGATATTGAGCTTCTCCACAACTTATTCTCAAAGATGTAGTCAATTTGAATCTCATTTGGTAAGATTCAGGTGTAAATTCACTCACCTTTTATGTAGTTAAAAATGGTATTTTCAATGAATAAATCACCAGTTTTGCAACATTCTCTCAAGTGAACACCAGCATCATTTCATCACTAAGGGTATGTTTTCCAACTACAGATTCTTTCTCTTTGTTTCCAGCTTTTTCATTACAATTAGCAGTAAGTGTCAACGCATCTTGATTGCATGTTTGAACAATTTCAGATTGAAAAAGTTGGTAGAATTCTTTAATTTGATCATCACTGACTTTAGTGGTTGGTGTATAAATATGAATAATAGTGGTATGAACTGGTTTTCCTTGTACGTATGGATTTATCCTATCACTGACAGCATTGTACTATAAGACAGATCTTATCATGTTGTTTTTAACAATGAATGTGATGTCATAACTCTTCATTTTCTCCCTCCTGGCAGAGTAAACCATATGATTATCTGATTTAAAATAGCCAATTCCAGTCCATTTCGGCTCACTAATGCCTTTTGTTGTTGTCAAGTTCTTTCAAGTCAGTTCCAGCTCATTGTTGTTATGAAGTGCAGCCTAGTAGGTTTTAACTCATAGTGACTTTATGCACAACAAACCAAAGCACTGCCTGTTCCTGTATCATCCTCACAATTGTTACCCTTGAGCCCATTGCTGCTGCCATTGTGCCAGTCCATCTTGTTGGGGTTGTTCCTCTTTTTCATTGACCCTCCACTTTACCTATCATAATGTCCTTCTCCAGGGACTCCTGCTAACATGGCCAAAGTATGAGAAATGAAGTCTCCCCATCCAAGATTCTAAGGAGTATTTTGGCAGTACTTCCAACACAGATTTGTTTGTTCATCTAGCAGTACTTTTTGCTTTGTTTTATTTATTTATTTATTTATGTATTTATTTATTATTGTGAACCGAGTGATCATTTACATGGGAGAACATCGGCATTATTCCATTGTTTCATTGCAATGATTATAATCTTCTCATTCAAGAGTATCTGCTTCCATTCCCTCTGTTTTTCTTTTTGTTTTGCAGGGGTTGGGTAGGGAGATGTACATAAAAACACTCAGGAATATATAATCATTTAAACCACCAAAGGGCACATTCTGCAAGCCTGCTTTCTGGCTGCCAGCACTCAGTCCCTCTCTTTCCATGAGTCTAAAGTCCTCAGCTGTTCCCTCTTTCCATGTCCTCATCTCTACCTCCATCTCTGGTGTCACTGTTTCTCTGGATGGGGTCCTGCATACTGCTAGTGCTCTTCACCTTTACTGGTTCTATGGTCCTCTGTTTAAGGACTGTAAGATTAACTACTCCTCCATTTTTGTTACAAAACTTCTACCTTTACAGTTGTGACAGTTGCAATTAGTCATGATAACAATTACTCACTATTGACTCATAAGACTCTTATCCCCATTTCCTTTCACCAGACTCATCTATGCAAGATGAAAACTATTTCAGACTCTATCTTCCCCTGCACACTCTTACACTAACCTCCCTTTTGAAAACTTATATGCCAGTCACTCCATGCCTTTACCACCCCCTCATTATAGGTAGCCAATGTCTAAGTTGCCTGTCCCTATCTACTCTGTATATAGAGGGGATGGGCTTGATACTTGATGTGAAGACTCCTTCCCTCTCTGTTGGTATTTAGAGCTACTACATCCATGAATACAGGTCAAGTTCCTCAAATTATAGCAACTTACCCTCATTTTCCTTTATCAAAAATTGTTTTTTTTTGGGTTTCTTTTTATCTTCCTCTAGTTGAGTTCTGATTATCAAGCCATCAAGGCTAGGTCAAATGGGTACTATCTACAAGCAAGTTTGGATGTTCTTGTGCATCTCCCCTCACTTCATATCAGCTGGGTGCTTCACTGTCACCTCTAGCCCTCTGTGGCTATGTCCTGGTCCATGGGCTCAGGTGTCCCCAGGTCTTACCACACTTTGGACCAATCAGCCCTTCCTCTTCTCTCTCTCATCTCCAGGTCAATGGGAGTCTATGGAAGGTGGCTGAACTCAGCCCATTTCTTCATTGCTGCCTAACCCCTCTTCCATTCACCAGTAGATCAGTGTGGTAGCCAGGAACATACATGCCTGCTCATGTGTTCTCTTTGAGTTTCAGTCTTGGAGGGGGTTTGTCTTCAAGAGACTTGATTACTTGCTTGATGGCTTCCCAGTGAACAACTTGCTTATTTTTGTAGTAGCTAATCATATTGCAATTTTTGTCTTGTTTTTTCCTGTTGATCTTTCTTTGAAGATGTATCTTCTGTTGCTCTAGCTGTTCCAAGCTGGTCTCCTTGTATTTTCTAATGGGAATGTCCCACCTCAGAATGTTCTGGATGGGGCTCAGGATTCCACCTAAGGTCCTATACATTGCAAAGGCTCTACAGGATGCCTAGTTCACTGGGCAGGTTGTAGAATCCCTTTGAGGTATTCTAATTACTTATAGGCTGAAGATGGGCTTACAAGCTTTCTGTAATCATGTTTTCCTGACATTCCTTTCTATCACACTCAAGTGTCTATTTTATAATAGTAGGCAAGGGAAACCAATATTCATTAGACAGTCAGTCATCTTAGTATTATTTCCCCTCTTCAGACTATGACTCAATCCCTGTATCACAGAGCCCAGTTGTTCCAAGGTTGACCATATATCACTATTTACCTCTGTCCCATTTAGCCCATGCAAACAGGTCTCAGTGTTCCCCTATCTACCGTGTTCATCCACCCCATCCCCTTTCTTGTGTATTGTCCTCCCAAACACCTAAAGTATTATGTGTCTTCCCCCTACCCTGTTACCCTGTGCTCTACTGTCCCCTCCCTCCACCTTCCCCAAAGCCCCCCACCCCACCCCTCTCCAGTAACCAACACAGAATTCCTCCCCCCCCTTTTAGTATGGGTTTCTTTTCTTAAGCTTTTATAACAATGGTCTTATCCAATATTTGCCCTTTTGTGACTGACTGATTTCACTCAGCATAATGTTCAAGGTTCATTCATGTTATGCGGTAGCTTGCAGCTTCCTTGTTATTCTTCAAGGTAGCATAATATTCTATTGTGTGACTTACCAAAGTTTGTTTATCTATTCTTCCATTGATGGGCATTTAGGCTGTCTCCATCTTTTTGCTATTGCGAATAGTGCTGTTGTGAACACTGGTGTGCATATATCTACTCTTGTTATAGCTTGTACTTTTTGTGGATATATACCAAGTAAAGGAATTGCTGGTTCATAAGGCATTTTATTTCCAACTTTCTGAGGATGGCCACACTGTTTTCCAGAGTGGTTGGACTATTTCGCATTTCCACCAGCAATATAGGAGGGTCTCAGTCTCTCCATATCCTCACCAGCATTTATTGTCCTCTGCTTTTTTTACTTCACTGTTATTACTGGTGTGAGATGATAGCTCGTTGTTGTTCTGACTTGCTTCTCTCTAACGGCTAATGTCACTTTGGGTCAGAATCGACTCGACAGCACTTAACAACAACAACATTGGCTAATGACCATGGACATTTCTTCATATGTTTGTTGGCTGCCCGAATCTCTTCCTTGGTAAAGTCTATGGTACTTTTAATCTCCTCCAACACTGTAACTCAAATGCATCAATTTTTCTATGGTCTGCCTTATTAAATGTTTTTCATCAGTCAGACATATAATCAGAAGGGACCAGTCCCTGGGGAAGGACATCATGTTTAGTAAAGTGAAGGTTCAGTGAAAAAGAAGAAATGTCCTGCACCAAGATGGATTTGCACAATGACAGCAGTAATGTGCTCAAGTGTGAAAGTGATTGTGAGGATGGTGCAGGACAGGTCAGTGTTTTGTTCTTGTGTGACTAAGTTCCCTAAGAGTTGGAGATGACTCATGTCCTCTAACAACAATAATATACACATGTATATAATTTTAAAGTCATTGGCTAGGTCAAAAGCTGTGTACTAAAAAACAGAACTAAAGTTTCTTATTCACAAGTAATGCATTCTTTTCATGTGTGTGTGAAAGACCAATCTAGTTCATAATAATAATATTCTTGTGTTGCTGTTGCTTCCCAGTTAGAATCTGGAATTCTAAATGCTTTCATATCAAACCTAGCTATTGTATTTTTTCCCATTTTACCTTCACACTCTTAACATACCCAGTTCTTTCTCAACTTCCCAAAGATTTTTCTTGTTGGAGTCTCAGTCACTTTTTCCTTTCTTTGTGGATTTTATGTTATTTAGAGATTCCCAGAACTGTCATTTTGAAGGAATTTTAAAACATGAGTGAAATTAGGTGTGTATCATCAATGTCATTTTCCCCCAGATGATATGTATTGTCAAATGAAATGTTTTCAAGACGTCTTTCTGCCAAAACATATTATTCTATGATTTATTTTAATATTGTAAGGGAATTCATAAATGGTGATAAATGTTTAGACTCACCCGCATTTCCCCATACATCTCCAGGACTTCATCCTTTACTTTCAGCTGTTCTTCATGGTCAATGTCTCGAATGCTAAGGATCCTGGTCCTATACTGTCGAAACTGATGCACTTCCTCTGCCTTTTGCATTACCTGCTGCTGATTCAGTTCTTCTGTCTGTAGTACACTATCAGCATTTGTTTTCCTTGTTATAAAAATATAACAGAAAGATATAAATAATTTTGTAACTCTGGAATGAAATTTACTTCAAAATTCAAATAATTTTAAAATTTTATCAGCAGAGTGGTGGTTTGTGTCAAACAAACATTAGGAATACAAAGAACCAACCATTATTTTCCAGTGGGCTTGCTTCCTTTGAGCCATAGTGTGGTACCATAAGATAAGCACTGGACTGGTAACCACAAGGTCATCAGTTCAAACACACCAGCCACCCTCAGAAACCCTATACAGGGTCACTATGAATCAGAACCAACTCAATGGCACACAACAACAACAATGCTCCTTTACTGAATCATTGGTATTTTAGGAACATATTTTAGGAAAATATATATGTAAATTGTAATATGCCATTTGGCTAAGTGATTTGTAGAATTGGTGTTAGCAAGTCTAAGAACATTTTGTGGGCTTTCCTTTTGAATTTATGTTGCTAAATAATTATGATGTTTCCAAATTCATAAATATGCTTGAGTAACAAACTCTCTATTAATCCTATTGGATAACTCTTAAGAAAATGGAATCTAATTAAATAAAGGAAATTGTCTGTAACTCTGCTCACAACAATTGAACTACAAATTAAATATGTACAGAAAACATTTAAATGTTTTCATGGTTAATTTGGAGCTCTGGTGTGGAGCTATAGAATAAGCACTGAACTGATAATCATAACATCAGTGGTTCAAACCCACTAGCCACACCCTCAGAAACCCTATATAAGGTTGTTATGAATCAGATCTGACTAGATGACAACAACAACAATGGTTGATTTAATAAAATATCTGCTAAATTTGAAATATAAAGTAAGATACTTCTAGAATTTCAGATATACTGAGACTATATATAGTAAGCTTCTGAATTCAAATGTTCAGTTGTTTAGCAATTGTCTTATAGTAATACTTTCAAAATTCTATGAATACAGATGTCTGAATAATCACATCTATCAAAACTTACCTTACATATTTAGACATGTCCAGACATTCTAATTTTTTTTTAATAAGATGTGGAGGGAGTTCCAAAATTGTAGGGGATCGTGCATAAGGCCCTGTTTTTAAAAGATAAGAAAGATCTCAATTAAAAAAAAAAAAAATCCAAACATGACTAACTGAATGACTGTGTAACACACTGTAATTGAAATATAATTTTCTCTAGAATGCAACCTTTGATTTCATTGATTAATTTAATCTGCTCTTGTTGAGTATAATATTTCACACTCATACTCTAGTTGGAGTTATTATACTTACAGTTAAATGAAGGAAATAATAAAACATAGCCAAAACTAAGATACTCGATAAGGAGAATAACAACATTAATAAAGGAAGACAAAAACACTCCTACTCTGAGTTACAAAATTTCATTATAAACCAGCTAAAGACATTAGGCTAAGTGCAAAAATTACAGAAAGCACTATGGGAGTAGAAATGAAAAATTGTTGGGACACCACCTTCCAGAATGGAGACGGGACATATAATAGGATACACTGGAACTCAAAATAAGTAACAGCTTTGTATACCATAGATCCATAGTGAACTCACAGCCAGATTTGAGAAAAAAAAAACAAACTTCAAACTCTTGGATATTAATGTTTAACTTTTACAGACCATTTAATTTCTTAAGGTATAATTTACATACATAAAATTCACTCATTTTAGGTTTGAAATTCAATGATTTATCATTATCAAAATCTAGTTTTAATGTTTCCATCACTCAAGTATTTAATGTACCCTTTAAAACTCATTCTCCTTTCCCACCACAATCTCCAGACAACCAATCTAATTTTGTCTCTAAAGAATTGCCTGGACACTTCAATAAAGTGGAATCATCCAGTACATGGTCCCTTGTGTATGGTTTCTGCTATTAGTATAATGTTGTCACCCATGTTGAATCAAGTGCCAGTATGTAATTTATATTTATTGCTCAATAATATCCCACATTTTGTTGTCCGTTTACCAGTTGATGAACATTTGAATTGTTTCTACTTTTTGGTTCTCATAAATAATGCTGCTATGAATATTCAAATGAATGTCTTTGTGTGGACATACAATTTCATTTATCTTGGGTAGCTACCTAGGAGTTGTTCTTATGGTAGAATTATGATTAAATTTTTAAGAAACTATCAAGCAGTTTCCCAAAGTGGCTGTACCATTATATATTCTCACCAAAAATTTATAAGGGTTCTCATTTCTCCACATTCTTGCAAATATTTGTTATTGATAATAGCCACTTTAATAGATTTTAAAAGATACATCTTTGCAGTTTCATTTTGCATTCTGGAATGGCTAATGTACATAAATCAAGAGGCAGTTATTCTGATAGAATATTCTGACTGTAGGTTTTAAAATTAGGAAAGGGATGCATCAGTATGATAGCCTTTCACCAATCTTCTTCTACCTGTGTGCTAAGCAAATAACCCAAGAAGCTGCACTGTATGAAGAAGAATATGGCATCAGGACTGGAGAAAGGCCCATTAATGACCTGTGATATGCAGATGACACAACCCTACTTGTTGACAGTGAAAAGGAGTTGAAGTACTTAGTGATGAAGATTAAAGACCACAGTCTTCAGTATGGATTATAACTTAACATAAAGGAAACAAAAATGTTTACAATGGAATCAGTAAGTTGCATCATGATAAATGGAAAAAAAGATTGCAGTTGCCAAAGATCTTGTTTTATTTGAATCCACAATCAAAATCCATGGATGCAGCAGTCAAGGCATTTAACTATGTATGGTGCTGGTGGTAGTTATGTGCCATGGAGTCAGTTCCGACTCATAGTGACCCTGTAAAGGGTTTCTGAGGCTGTAAATGTTTATGGGAGCAGAAGACCTCATCTTTTTAACATGGAACAACTGGTAGTTTCAAGCTGCTAATTTTGGGGTTAGCAGCCCAACTTGTGACCACTACACTACCAGAGTTTCTTAAACAGTGTGTATGGCATTAAGCAAATCTGATACCAAAAGGCCTTTTCAAGTTGTTGAAAAGCAAAGAGATTACCTTGAGGACTAACATACACTAACCAAAGCTGGTATTATCAGTCATCTCACATGCATGTGAAAGCTGGGCAATAAATAAGGAAGATGGAAGAAGAATTGATGACTGAATTATGGTGCTGGCAAAAAATATTGACTATACCATGAACTGTTAGAAAAACGAACAAATATGTATGGGGAGAAGTACAACAAGAATGCTGTTTAGTGACGAGCCTGGTGAAACTTGACCTCATGCACTTTGGGCATGTTAACAGGAGGGCCCGTAGCTGGAGAGGTGCTCAAGCTTGGGAAAGTACAGAAGGTGAGAGAGAAAAAGAAGCGCTTCAATGAGATGGATTGACATAGTGTCAGCAACAATGGGCTCAACCATAGCATCACTTATGAGGATGGACTTGGACCAAGTCGTGTTTCCTTCTGTTGTATGTAAAATGACTATGAGTTGGAACTGACTTGTCAGAACCTAACCACAACTGTTACTAATGCTGTTGAACATCTTTTTGTTTGCTTATTAGCCATTCAGATACGATCTTGAATAAAATACTTTCTGACATATTTTATATACATTTAAATTGTACTGCTTGTTTTCTTGTTGAGTTGCAAGAATTTTTCTATATTTTGGATGAAAGTTTGTTGTCAGATCAATGATGTAAAAGGATTTTTTCAGTTTGTGGTTTGTCTTTTCATCTTCTTAACGTCTTTTGAAGCAAAAAAATTTATAATTTTTATCAAGTCTCATTAATCTTTTTTTTTTTTTTTTTTTGTTAGATCTTCCTTTTTGGTAGTATATCTGAGAAGTGTCTACCTAATCCAATATAATGAATAATTTAACATGCATTTCCTTTCAGTAGTTTTATAATTGTCAAAATATTTTTCAAAATTATTTTGGTCATTCTGGGCCTTTGAATTTCTATATGATTAGGATCTGCTTGTCTAATTCTTTAAAAGATTTTGTGGGATTTTGCTAAAGGTTACACTGAATTTATGGATTAATTTAGGAATAATTAAAATTTATTGACAATTGTATATGTAACCACTATGATTTTATTTTTACTATTTGTGTGGCACTGTAGGATAAGCACTGGGCTGCTAACTACAAGGTAGATCATTCAAACCCACCAGCCACTCCTTAGAAACCCTAAGCAGGATTGCTAAGATTTAGAGCTGACTCCACGGCACTTAATAACAAATTTTACATACATGAATTGTATAAAATATTACTACTAAAATAATTTTTCCCTCACTTTATTTTTAGGTTAAGCATTTAATAATCAGGTGCGGGTGCAGCTGATGAACTTTGCTAAGTATCTGTAAAAAACTATGATTACAAAATGCACATTTTTATAATCTTGGACATTACATATGTTTAAGTCACTATGTTTTCCAGGATTTATATTTCAAAATATGAATGTACTTTGCCCTATAGGGTTTCCAAAGCTTTATGGGAGCAGACTTCCACATCATTCTTTTCCACAGAGCAGCTGGTAGGTTCAATCTGCCAGTCTCTCGGTTAGCAACTGAGTGCTTAAGCACTGCGCCCTCAGGGCTCCTTAATTAAAGAAATACTTAGTGATATTGTTCTTTCACGCACTGTGCTCATGCTTGTCCTTTGCTGCTGAGTGTGCTCCAGCTCCACTTTCACTGCCTAATGCTTTTGGCAGTTCCTTTATGTGCTTACCCAACTGCCACTTCTTCCAGAGCATGCTCCCTGATGTGGTGGTCTGCTTGACATCTGAACTCACAGTACTCTTTGCTTCTCGCTCCTTTACAGTAATTGCAGGTTTTTCTATTATAACATGATGTGTGCATTACTGAAGACACTTGCATGCAACAAAATCACATATAAAACCTAACAGGACATATGGAATCATAGATTCAAAGCAGATGCAGATGACTCAAAACCCTTGCAAATTCTAATCAGAGCACTAGCAGAAAAAAAAAAAAATTAGGTATATAAAAAATGACTTGAATGGTATAGGCAGGTCTGCTAGTACGGCTGGAAGCTGCCTCCAGATATGCTCATATTAAAAAGAAAAGGAAAAAAAAAAGGTATACATTTGAAGTCAGTCTAGGTGGCGCTGTAATGATTTGGAATGATGTTCCTTCCACCTCGTCTTATTCTGGCGTGGAAGCCAGAAGTACCTTACAATTTGATTCTGAGTAGAATTGAGAACTATTTAAGGGAGAAGACACCTTTAGTTTGCTGAAAAATGGTCCTTAGTAATGTATAGGATAAAACAGTTACATAAACATGTTTCTTCAAAGTCACATGTTGATTTTTAAGACAATTACCCATCAAATTTTTCTCTTGGAGTGAGTAATGTGATTGGAGTAGGAATGAATGGAGGAAGACTGTAACAACCTGCAATATGCAGAAGACACAACCTTGCTTATTTAAAGTGACTAGGACTTGAAACATCTATTGATAGAGAGCAAAGACTATAGCTTTCAGTACGGATTACACTTCAAAATAAAAAACAAAACTCCCCATAACTGGATCAATAAGCAACATCATAATATATACAGAAAAGACTGAATTTACCATGGATGTCATTTTACTTGGATACACAATCAACACCCATCGAAATATTGTTGTTAAGTGCTGTAGAATCAGTTTTGACTCATAGTGATTCTGTCTCGGGTTTTTAAGGAGCAGCTGGTAGGTTTGAGCTGCCAAACTTGTAGTTTGCAATCAATTGCTAATCCTAAAGTTCTACACCAGGAATCTATAGAATAGCAATCAAGATATAAAACAACATACCACATTGGGCCAATCTGCTGCAGAAGACCCCTTTTAAGTGTTAAAAAGCAAAGCTGTCAATTTGCCGACTAAGGTGCACTTGACCCAAGCCATACTACTTCAATCATCTCATATGCTGGACAATGAATGATGAAGATTGAAGAATTGACACTTTTGGATTTTGATGTTGGCAAAGAATATTGGATTGCCAAAAGAATGAGCATGTCAACCAAAATATGAATTTGTTGGTGAGACTTACTATCATGTACATTGAACATGTTATTGTTGTTATTGTCATCAGGTGCCATCGAGTCGGAACCGACTCATAGTGACCCCATGCACAGCAGAACGAAACAATGTCCATTCTGGGCCAACCTCACTACCGCTGCCACACTTGGGTCTATCAATGATGCCACCTGGCTGATCCATCTTGTTCGGGGTCTTCCTCTTTTTCTCTGACCCTCCACTTTACCCAGCATGACATCCTTCTCCGACGATTGTTTCCTCCGGACAATATGTCCAAAGTAGGAGAGATGAAGCTTAGCCATCCTGGCCTCCAAGGAGCACTCTGGCTGCACTTCTTCCAAAACAGATCTATTGGTTCTTTTGGCAGTCCATGGCACTTTCAGTATTCTCTTCCAACACCACAACTCAAAGGCATCAATTCTTCTACAATCCTCCTTATTCACTGTCCAGCTTTCGCATCCATATGAGGCTATTGAAAACACCATGGCCTGGGTCAGGCGCACCTTAGTCCTCAAGCTGACATCTCTGCTCTTCAATACTTTAAAAAGTTCCTGTGCAGCAGATTTGCCCAGTGCAATACGTCATCTGATCTCTTGACTGCTACTTCCGCAAGTGTTGATAGTTGATCCAAGAAGAATGAAGTCCTTAACAACTTCAATCTTTTCTCCATTGATAAGAATGTTGTTTATTGGTCCAGTGGTGAGGATTTTTGTTTTCTTGACATTGAGATGTAATCCATAGCGAAGGCTGTGCTCTTTAATCTTCATAAGTAAATGTTTCAAGTCCTCTTCACTTTCAGCGATCAAGGTTGTATCATCTGCATATCACAGGTTGTTAATGAGTCTTCCTCCAATCCTGATGCCACGTTATTAGGAGATACCATTTCCTGGAGAAGAGAATCATATTGGGTGAGGTAAAGGGCCAGTGAAAAAGAAGAAAACACTCTCAACAAGATGGGTTGGCACAGTGGTAACAATAATGGGCTCAAACCTAATGTTTGTGAGGATGAAACAGTACTGGGCAATGTTCCGTTGTTATGAATCAGACCTGACTTTAAAGCACCTAACAGGGGGTTGTTCTGAGTTTAAAAAAAAAAAAAAAAAAATTTACACAATTGAAACTATTCCTAGAGTGATCGTGATCAAGAATGTATACATATGGATTGAGCTACAGAGATGAAAGAATTCATGGTTTATTTAATTGGTCATTTTTTGCTATCATTGCTCATGTTCTGTATGCTGTAATGAAACTGTATTATGATACAGTGAAATCTGTGAAAGCCAGAACATGATGGGGCTGCCTTGTTTTTTCCAGGTCTTGAATATTTTCTGCCATTGACAGGGTTCAGTCATATAGTCTTTCTATCACTTTCTTCAGTGGAAAACATTTGTGTTTTTCTTTACTGAGAGGTTTCTGCATTATACAGGTTTCTGCCTTCTACAGGTTTCAGCTTTTGCAAGTTTATCAAGCTGAGACTTTAAAATAAATCAGTATATAGTGATACCATCCAAAATGAAACCCACTGCCATCGAGGCGATTCTGATTTGCACCGATCTTGAGGTCAGCAACCCAATGTTTAGCTCACAGGGCCACCGCCGCTCCTTATGATAAGTAGCAACAATCTGTTTGGGCCTGACATGTATTTTGGATTCTCAAACTTTATAATTGTTATTATTAAACTTAAAATTAAAAGTGGAAAACTATTTTTAGTAATAAAGTCCAGACACTAGAAGACAAGAGATGTATATTCTCTTCACATTTGAATTGTTAACAATGAGGTTTTCAGGTACTTAAAAACACTCTTTCAGTGAATGAAAGAAGCAACAGAAAAAAAGTCAGAGGAAAAATAGAAATTTTAACAACATAATTAAATAACTTGACCCTTTTCACATATCAAGGATACTTCACCCATCAACCACAGAACAAAATATTATTTTAAGCATACATGAACATTCACTAAAATAAATCGTGTGCTGGGCTATGAAAAAGTTTCAACAACTATCAAGAGGTTGAAGTCATAATGACTTATGTTCTTTGAACACAATAGAATCAAACTAGAAACTGAATCAGAAAGAGAATTAGCAAATGCTCACATGTTCTGAAAGGCAGCAGCAGCACACATTTATATCACTCGTGGTTCAAAGAGAAAAGTCTAATGATGATTAAAAATGCTTTGAGTCAACACTAAGAAAAATACAACAGCTAAAGCAGTGAAATCAACAGCTCCACTTGCATTCTTCTGACAATATAATTTTTTTTAAAGGATTGCGGTCAATTATCTAAGATTCAATCTTACAGAGGCTAGAAAAATATTAGTAAGTTATTCCAAAGAAATCAGAAGATAATGAAGAAAAAAACGCTGAAAATGAAACTGTTGAAATAAGGGCAGACATCTAAAAGTGGAAAGTAGATTCTTTAAGATATTAACACAATAGATGAAAAACTGAGGATAAAAATGTATGCCAATAAGTCTGAGAGCTTAGATAAAATGAACACATTTCTTATGAAGTTCAACTTACTAACTAGACGATGTAAACCATTTAAAACCCATTGCCATGAAGTCTATTGACCTAGTGAGACACAGAGGGTACACAGAGTAGGAGTAAAAATATAAGACGTTAAAGAAGATGAGCTGACCATGATTGGACTGAGAAGACTGGTACCTCAATGAAGGAAATGCCTGATAAAGGGATGAGGGTTGAGGTATGTATTACCTGAGAATTGACATATGTCAAAATTCATCAAACTGCAAACTTAGTATTGGTGACGTAACAATGTATGCTATACCTTACAACTAAATTTAACAATAACAATAATAAAATCTAGAGACTTAAGAAAATGAACGGTGTCCTATTCACTTTATTTGCCAGCATTACAATAGACTCTAATGGTTTTAGGAGTGAATACGTTGGGTGTTAAATACTTTCAGATCTTAGCTCTGTCACTTTTCAGAATGACTGAGGAAGAATAAGATAGCCTCTCTTAGCTTTGGTCTCCTTATTTGTAATAATAGTGTCTATCTTATATCTGCTGTGAACTTCAATGAGAGTAAACATAAAGTTCTTAGCACTTAGTATTCATGCCAGGAATAGGTACCTATTTGCTTTCCATACTGCTTGTTAAATGGTGTAGTGTGATGTCATCACAGTACAACCATCACTGAATTCCATTCCTGAATAGGTGAAAATGGACAAGCCTGACTTACCACTGGACAGCGGAGTGCAGTGTTACATGGAGGGAGCCACAGGGACCGACCTCGGTGCAAATGTTGGCTTTGTTACACCTTGTGTACATAGGTAATTACTGAGACTCTCTGAGTCTGTGTCCTTGGTGGCAAAATGGAAAATAATGTATACCTCAGTGGGTTGATAAAGTAAGTGAAAATATTAACACAGAGTACAGGTCTGAGCATAATTACTCAATAAAAATAGTTGGATTATTATTTTCTTATTTTTGTTATTTACTGCTATTCTTTTAGAAAGGGATCAGATTGATAATAGAAGGCTTGTCTTCAAGTTCACTCACTGTTACTTTTTAATTAGGTTGCACCTTTTTCTTGGGATTTATATTTTCTTAAAAGAGGAAACTATATCTATTGGGGAGGAAAAAGACAAATGTAGGAAGTAAATCGGAAAATATCAGAGAAAGTGCTTCGATAATGAAGCATTATCTGAAATTGCTTTTTTCTTTCTTTCTTTCTTTCTTTCTTTCTTTCTTTCTTTCTTTCTTTCTTTCTTTCTTTCTTTCTTTCAAGTATAACTTCTTGATGGTCTTTGAAAAAGAGTTAAAGAAGCAACAGCTGCACTGTGTGGCGCATGGGGCAGGGCACACTGACCTTCTTCCACTGTTTTCACAGGACTTTCAGCCGCTGGAGCACACTCAGTTTCAGGCATTTTCTTAAAGTACTGGCTGAGGTAATGCAAACGAGCCTGAGAAGCCTAAAAAACAAATATTGTCAGCTTTTTAAACACTTTTTGAAAATAACTAAGAGTACAGGTGATAGATATGTGAATAGTAATCAAAAGGAATAGATAACAAAGTGAATTGGATAAGATGATTGAGCCAGTCCAGTAATGATCAAACAAACTCAAAATTTTGAACCCATCAATGATTTAGATAGAGCTATTTTAGAACACTGTTGTTGTTGTTAAGTGCCGTTGAGTCAGTTCCGACTTATAGTGACTCTGTATAGGGTTGGTATTTAAAATACCTTTGGTATGACTTCCAGAGTCACAGCAACAAGCAAGCCGTCTCAGTTCAACAAACTAATAGACAAGGTCGCTCATGGTGGACAGGTGTCAGTTAAGCTTCCAGACTAAGACAGACTAGGTCTGAAGGAGAGACAAACTACTTCTGAATATTTAGTCACTGGAAACCTTATGACTAAAACTGGAACATGATCAGATAGCAGCAGAATATTGAAAAATGATGAAGAGCACCAGAATATTGTCAGATATAGTGCCAGACAATGAATCCCTCAGGTGAGAAGGCACTCAAAATACAACGGGAAAAGTAGACTTGACCGGGATGATACTGACAAGGCACAACTCAAAATGAGGAGAAACAGCTCTAAACATTCATTATTAATCAGATCATGGAGTGTATGAAATATGAATCTAGGAAAATAGGAAGTTGTCAAAAATTAAATGGAATGCATAAAGATCTATAACTTAGGTATTAGTGAGCTGAAATGGACTGGTATTGGTCATTTTGAATCTGACAATCACTTGACTTACTATGATGGAAATGACAAACTGAAGAAATAAAGTGTCGCATGTGGTGCTGTGGGCTAGTGTGCTAGACTGTAAAGTAGGTTTGAACCACAAGGTTCAATCTCACCAATTGATCCTTGGAAAACCTATACAGGGTGGCTATGGGTTGGAACCAACTCTACGGTGCTTAACAACAACAACAACAACAACAACATTTCATCATCAAAAAGAACATCTCAAGATCTATCTTGAGGTACAATGCTGTCTGTGATAGGATAATACTTATATACACCTACAAGTAAGACTAGTTAATACAACTACAACTCAAATTTACACATCAAGTGATGATGAAATTGAAGAATTCCAGCAAAATTTTCAGTCTGAAATTGATCAAACATGCAATCAAGATGTATTGATAGTTACTAATAATTGCAATGATGAAGTTGGAAACAAAGGGGAAGGATAAGTAGTTTGAAAATATGGCCGTGGTGATAGAAATGATGCTGGAGTAATCATGATAGAATTTTGCAAGACCAATGACTTCTTCATTGTAAATATGTTTTTTAACAACATGTACCTATATACATGGACCTCACCAGATGGGATACACAGAGATCAAATTGACTACAACTGTGGAAAGAGACCATGGTAAAGCTCCATATCATCATCCAAAACAAGTACAGGGGCAGACTGGGAAACAATCAATTACTCATATGCAAGTTTAGGCTAAATTAAGATAAGTTCATGAGACTGAAAATATGACCTTTAATATATCCCACCTAAATTTACAGATTATCTCAGGAACAGATTTGATGCATCAGACACTTAATGACTGAAGACCAAAAGAGTTGTGGATGACAATGAGAACATCATACAGAAAGAAAGCAAAAGGTCATTAAAAAGACAAGAAATAAGGAAAAGAAAAAAATGGATGACAGAAGAAACTCTAAAATTTACTCTTCAGTGTAGAAATGCTAAAGCAAATGGAAGAAATGAGGAAGTAAAAGAGCTGAATAGAAAATTCCAAAGGGCAGCTAGAGAAGCCAAAGTAAGAAATTATAACCAAATGTGCAAAGATCTGGAGTTAGAAAAGGGAAGAACACACTCAGCATTTCTCAAGCTGAGGGAACAGAAGAAAAAAATTCAGGCTTTGACATGCAACATTGAAAGATTCTATGGGCAAAATACTAAATAATGCAGAAAGCATCAAAAGAAGACCAGAATACACACCAAAAGAAATGGTAAATGTTCAACCATTTCAAAAGGTAGCATGCAATTAAGATCCAATGATACTAAAGAAAGAATGCAAGGTATACAGAAGCAATTGGCAAATAAGGCTCTGGGAATTGATATAATGCAAATGGAAATCTTTCAATAAAATAATGCAGCACTGCAGGCACTCAATAATCTATGCCAAGAAATTTGGAAGCTAACTACCTGACCAACTGATTAGAAGAGATTAATATTTGTGATCATTACAAATAGAGGTGAGCTAACAGAATGCAGAAACCATTAGGCAATATTATTAATATCATGCATAAGTAAAATTTTGATGAAGATAATTTTAAAAAGACTGCAACAGTACATTGACAGGGAGCTGCCAGAGATTCAGACTGGATTTAGACAGGGACGTGGAATGATGGATATCATTGCTGATGTAAGGTGGATCTTGGCTGAAAGCAGAGAATACTAGAAATATGTTTACCTGCTCTTTGTTTGACTATACAAAGGCTTATGATTATGTAGATCAGGACAAGCTATGGACAACATTTCAGAGAATGAATATTCTGGAATACTTAATTGTGCTCATGAGGAACCTGTATATATACCAAAAGACAGTTGTTTAAACAGAACAAGGGAACACAGAATGGTTTAAAATCAGGAAAGGTTTGCATGAAGATTGTATTCTTTCACCATACTTATTCCATCTGTATGCTCAGCAATTAATCCTAGAAGCTGGATTATATGAAGAACATAGCTTTAAAAGAATTATTGGAGGAAGACTCATTAACAACCTGAGGTATGCAAATGTTACAACCTTGCTTGCCGAAAGGACTTAAAATACTGATGAAGATCAAAGAGCACAGCCTTCGGTATGGATTGCATCTCAATGTAAAGAAAACAAAAATCCTCACCACTGAACCAATAAATAACATCCATACAAATGGAGAAAATTAGGGGAGTTGTCAAAGACTTCATTTCTTTTCTCATCAACCATCAACACTCATGGAAACAGCAGTCAAGAAATCAAGACATTGAATTAGGCAAATCTGCTGTACAAGACCTCTTTAAAGTGTTCAAGGGCAAAAATGTCAGTTTGATGCAAGTCATAGTATTTTCAACAGATGAAGGATGGCCAGACTTCATTTCCATACTTTAGACAAATCATAAGGAATGAAAAGTTCCTGGAGAAGGACATCATGCTTAGTATAGCGGAGAGTCAGCAAAAAAAAGGAAGATTAACAATAACATGGTTTGTCATAGTGGCAGCTGCAATGGACTTAAGCTTAACAATGATTGTGAGATTGGTGCAGGACTGAACAGTGTGCATAAGGTCACTATGATTCGGTACCGACTTGACGGCAACTCACAACCACAGTTTTTAGAACTAATAAAGTCTCAATCCTAAAACAAATACTCTGGGTATGCTATACAGATCCAATTCACCCTGAACCTTTTTTTTGTCTGCCCCAATAACCTCAAATTGTAACATGAGAATTTACATATGATTATTTCACTATGGCAGTGATTCTTATAGAAAATAGAAAAGGGAACAGAGAGAAGATGGGTGTATATTCCAGAAGAGGGCAGCACAAGCCCTCATCTTCTGCTCAAAGAACACAAGCAGACATATTAAACAGTTTCATGAGTTTTAACTCAGGGATGTTAACAGCAGGTGTGGATATAGCCAGAGTTGTGTGGGGAAAAAAGGAGCTATCCCACGGTCTAGACTTAAAAGTGGCATCACTATGTACTTTGTTTTTGGCAGTCCTTTGAATATCAGGAGGCCAATATTCCACAATGTGTCTCAATGTGATATTAACATATTCGTAAATATCTGACAGACTTGAGGCTGAGAAAGGAATGACTATCTGGTTTCTACAGCATGGCCCTTTCCTTCACACTATGCATAGGAATGGGTGGTTAAAGGTCAATCTTTCAAACTCAGGCTACTTTGACTGCTCTTCCTGGCTCAGTCGTCTCCCAGGCTTGCTTCATGGCTCGGATTTCATCTGCTCTCTCTGTATCTTTTTTCACTTCAAGTAAGTCAATTTCATTGTACTCGGTGACCAATCTCAAAACCCAGTATGGTTTATTAGGGTCATCTTGTTGAGAATGAACAGCAGACATCTGATGGAATAAAATGAAAACCTTTGGGTTAGACACTTTCTTCCTTTCAAAAAGGTCTATTTATGACCCATAATAGCAATGTTAGGTACAAACACCAAAGAAATAAGTATACACTGCGTGATTAAGTGAAAACAACAACAACAACAACCAAACATTACTACTAGGGTTCTAAGGAGCTCTGGAGGTGTAGTGGTTATGAGTCGGGCTGCTAACCTCAAGGTCAGAAATTCGAGACTACCAGTTGTTCCATGAGAAAAAGATGAGGCTTTCTGTTCCCAGAGATTAGAACCAACTCCATGGCACACCAGTACCACCACTAGGGTTCTAGTTCATATATGCACAAGATAATTCCAAACACAACATGTATAAACATGATATTATGAGCAGTGGATGGCTGCAGACAACTTCTCTCTGTAATAAAAATCTTAGCTCTTTGTTGGTAAGTGTCATAGAGTCAGTTTTGATCCAAATCAACCCTCTATAGGTTTTCTGAGGAGCAGCTGTTGGATTTGTACTGCCGAAGTTGTGGTAAGTAGCCCAGTGCCTATCCTATACCACCACACCAAGAGTCAGTTCTTTTTAGGATGTCTTTTTAAAAAATAGGTCCAGTCAAAAAAAAATGCCTTCTGTCTCATTCAATTCCAAACAGAGTGTTCAGCTCCATAGGTTATAGTGATTGGGGGGAATTCCAAAGGGTAATCTTGATAGATTTTCTCAAAGGATACCGGCAACCATGGGGACTAATTAGGAAAAAGTTATATGGAAATTGAAAACTGCATTTGTGAGAAAAAGCATGAAGAGCTGTGCTGAGGACATTTTCCCATCATGACAAAGTACCTGCTCATTCTTCAACAGGAGCAAAGGCAGTCCTACAAGAATTTTAATGGGAAATCTTACCACATCCACCTTACAGCCCTGACCTTACTCCTTAAGATTTTTTTCCCCAAACTGCAAAGACCATTTCAAAGGACCATTATTGAGTCCCTCAAGGATGTGAAAACATCAGTTTTGACATGATGTTAATTGAAGAGCAAGCTCATAAAAATTCTTTGGGGAGGGTTTGTTGTTGTTGTTGTTAACTGCTGTCAAGTTGGAAGGTTTAAAGAGATGGAAACCACCTTTAGAAGTGTATAGCCCTAGTTGGCGGATATGTTGAGAAACAATAGCTTCACAATATGATTTTTGTTTGTTTGTTAAGTGCCGTTGAGTCGGTTCCGACCCATAGCGACCCTGTACAGGGTTTCCGTACAGGGTTTCCGAGGGTGTAAATCCTTACGGGAGTAGAAAGCCTCATCTTTCTCCCGCGGAGCGGCTGGTAGTTTCGAACCGCTGACCTTAAGGTTCGCAGCCCGATTCATAACCACTACCAGAGCTCCTTTCACAATTATTTTTGTTTAATAAAGGCTTCTATGATTTTGAACAATACTTTTTGACTTATCCTCATACACACACACACACACACACACACAAAGGCTTATATAACAATATGCACTGCAGCCTTATCAATAACAGGAACAATTGACTGCATGAGTGAAGAAGAAAATTATAATATATGCAATCATAAGATTGAATACTACTTAACAATAGCATAATGAACTACTGTTATACATCCTGGAATGGATGGACTCAGCATAGAGGCAAAGAAGTCGAGCAAAAGAATATATTTTATAAGAATCATTTATATGAAATTCCAGAACAAGCAAAACTAACCTTAGTGACTGGGAGCGGAGTGGTTGCTGAGGGTGGGCAGTGGGATGGGATGGGAATGGAAATGAGGATGGGATGGGGTAAGGGGTGGTGGTGAGTGTGGGGACAACAAAATCAGCTCCAAAGAAGAACTGAGGAAATATCTGAGCCTATGGAAATGTTCCATAATCAAAACATTGTATTTCTCAAGCTGGGGGAACTGAAGAAAAAATTCAAGCCTCGACTTTCGCTATTGAAAGATTCACTGGGCAAATTATTGAATGATGCAGAAT